GTCTGGGGCGATGGCGGCGGTGGCGGGGCCCGGACCGCTTTGTTCGCCACCTCCGCCTGTGCCCACTGCTCGCGGATCAGCCATTTTAGCAAGCCGGGCTCAGAGGCACTGCAGGCGCCACCATCACTGCGACCGCTGCCGGCCAGGCTCCGCGCCTCCGGAGCACTGCCGCCACCGCTGCCCCTGGCCTCGAGCCCCCCTTGGGGGAGGCAATGGTGGATTTCAGGGGCACTTTCTTTCATCAGGAAGCTTTTGACAAAATGGAAGGTGAATTATGGGTGTCTAGGTGACCCAAGACCCAGCTGAGTCCGCCCGCCCACTGCCGACCTGAGGCTTTCCGGCATTCTGTCCTGCCCCACCCGCGTAGCCACTGTGGAGCCCTAATGCAGCCCCTGGGTCGGTCCCGGCAAAGGGGAGCGCTTTAGTGCTTTAGTTTCACATGATGACCTTGGGTGTGGGAAAAGGAAAAGATGGCGGGAAGCTGGGGGTGGGAAAGGGACTGTGACAAGCCATAGCTGCGTTTTTATTTGGAAACTTTGGAGAAAGTATTTCTGGCTGGATATGCATTCTGCTTTACAGATGATCATGACTGGCCCTTTTGGTATCCCCTGCCCCTTTAGATAATGACGAAGAGACAGGTTTGAACTAATAGTACAGGGGCATCTGCTTACTTGCTGTATCACCGTCCTTGTAAAAGCCATTTTTATAAGTCAAAATGCATCAACAATAGTGAAATATCAAATTTTACCTATTTTGATTTTACCTGCTTTGATCTTGGTTTTAGCAGTGGTGATAGTATTTTTGTTTCTAACATGGGAGTAAAACAGATGACCAACTAGCTTGGTTTCAAGCTTCTATCATCAGCCTGTACCGCCTACAAATGTATCCTCCCTACTTTCTGGTTGCAGTTTCCAAAACATAGCATTTCTGAATCGGAATGTAGCACTGAGCCACCCCACTTGGGTCTGTTCCATTTGGAGAACTTGATCGCTCTTGGAAAAGTAACTGGGAAACCTGGGTGCTTCATGCTGGTCAAAAGTTAAATGACAAGTGACAGTGAGGCTGATTTTCCCCCCTAGTCTGCCTTTGGCATTTTGAGGCAGGGGGACTTCCTAAGAGCAACCTCAATTTTAATTTTGTCCTTCCTTTGGTATATCTTGTAGTTCTATTCTATTCATTGCATTTGTTTTTCTTTGTTTCTCTTCCTTCTATCCGTAACAGTCAGGATGGCTAAAGGTGATCCCAAGAAGCCAAAGGGCAAGATGTCTGCTTATGCCTTCTTTGTGCAGACATGCAGAGAGGAACATAAGAAGAAAAACCCAGAAGTTCCAGTCAATTTTGCAGAATTTTCCAAGAAGTGCTCTGAGAGGTGGAAGGTATTTTTGTTTTGTGCCCTTCAAGCTAGTCTTAGTACTTTGGGGTCATTTACTTTTAGAGTAGCCCCAAGTGGCTGTTTTCTTCCTCTTAGACACATCTCACTTGTTTTTAGAATTTTGTATGTGTGCTACTATTTTTTAAGACTCTACAAGTCTATTTTTTTTAAGACTCTACAGGTGTTTAAGGTTTTCATCCCCTTTTGCAAGTGGCTATAACAGCTGCCACTTTAATTATAGGACAACTGAAGAGGTATGTGTTCACTGCATTGAGGAATTTAACAGGTCCTATTCTTTGCAGACAATGTCGGGAAAAGAGAAATCTAAATTTGATGAGATGGCAAAAGCAGATAAAGTACGCTATGATCGGGAAATGAAAGATTATGGACCAGCTAAGGGAAGCAAGAAGAAGAAGGACCCAAATGCCCCCAAAAGGCCACCGTAAGTGACTATCAGATTCAGGACAACCTTGAAGAGTTTTCCTTCTGCTTGAAATATTTTTAAAAAGATACTTTACCTAAAAAAAATGTCAGTATACCTCTGCAAAATATTCTATACTTTGAGCTTGAGGTGTTGGTGAGCTGTGTGTGCCTGGTGGTTTCCTGTTGGCCTTTCCACTGGGAAGCAAGCAGCCTAGTTTGGGGTGTCAGCATCCTTAGGTACATTCTCTACCCCTTGCCCAGTAACAGAGACTGAGAAACCACCATATATTTCTAAAGCAGTGTAAAAATTCTAGAACCTGCAACTTTGAAATACTGTATATGGTATCACACATTTCTTCACTGTAGGGAAGAGTCATAGTGGTAGGAAGTATGGGCTCAGGAACATGGGATTTTGACTTAAGCTCAAATTTTTGAGGGTCCTCATGTAATTTATATAATTTTCTCCTTCAAGGTCTGGATTCTTCCTTTTCTGTTCAGAATTCCGTCCCAAGATCAAATCTACAAACCCTGGCATCTCTATTGGAGATGTGGCAAAGAAGCTGGGCGAGATGTGGAATAACTTAAGTGACAGTGAAAAACAGCCTTATAATAATAAGGCTGCAAAGCTGAAGGAGAAGTATGAGAAGGTGAGGTGGGTCAGAGTGTGTGCTCTGGACAGTGAGCAGTTAGCTGCCCTGGATATGAGGGTTTGTGGGGTGGAAAGTTGTTTTGCTGGGCTGAATAACTAGTTAGCAGAGCATATGAGGGCCCATCTACACTCAAGATCAGCTACATGTGCTGGTGTTCAGGCTTCTGATAGATCTTTGTATTAGGGACAACTTTAGGCGGGCTTAAAAAATTAGATAACATGGAATGCCACTGGCATAGACTGTGATAGTGCTATTAACTAGAGTTAAAGGCTACTTGATCACTCATTACCTTTTAAATTTGAATGGCTGAGAACCAAATTTGTATCAGGAAACAAATACTACAAATACCAGCTCTGTACTGTTTTGAATTCCAGCTTTTTTATTCTGATGCAGGCACAGCATGTTTTCACCCTGTGCTAAAAAAGCTGCAAGAGAGCTTGTCTCCTCGTTTGAAATGTGTCCCTGTTCTTTCCAGGATGTCGCTGACTATAAGTCTAAAGGAAAATTTGATGGTGCAAAGGGTCCTGCCAAAGTTGCCCGGAAAAAGGTAGAAGAGGAAGACGAAGAAGATGAGGAGGAAGAGGAAGAGGAGGAGGAGGAGGAGGAGGAGGAAGAGGATGAATAAAAAAACTGTTTATCTGTCTCCTTGTGAATACCTTAGTGTAGGGGAGCGCCGTAATTGACACAGCTCTTATTTGAGAGGTGTCTGTTACCCTCATTAGGATTAATTACACAATTGGATCATGATCATATGTAGTCTCTCAAAGTGCTCTAGAAATTGTCAGTGGTTTACATGAAGTGGCCATGGGTGTCCGGAGTACCCTGAAACTGTATCAAAGTTGTACATATTTCCAAACATTTTTAAAATGAAAAGGCTCTCGTGTTCTCCTCACTCGGTGCACTTTGCTGTTGGTGTGACAAGGCATTTAAAGATGTTTCTGGCATATTTTTTTTTTTTAATCTCTAAGGTGGTGTTAAATATTTGGTTATTGGCTAGAAATCCTGAGTTATTAACTGTACATATCTATAGTTTGTAAAAAAAAAAAAAAAAAAAAGAACAACTGAGACAAGCTCTTGGTGCTCTTTGCTTGGCATTGAGGCTGTGGGGAAGATGCCTTTTGGCGAGGCCGTAGCTCAGGGCATGCACTGTGAGGCTGGACCTGTGGACACTGCAGTGGGCATCCATTTAGCTTCAGGTTGTCTTGTTTCTGTATATAGTGACATAGCATTCTGCCATTAGCTGTGGAAAAGGGGGTCAGCTGGCATGAGAAGTGTTTGGATCTTTTTTAGTTAAGTGTGGTAGTTTTAAATTGTTTTTAAACTGTACAACTCTTTCATTGTCAGCAAAGTGAAGAGGCAGTGCATCAATGAAAGTTCAAGAACCTTCTGTACTAAACACAATTTGCAACATTTTGTTATTTTTTGTATGTTTAGAATGCTGAAATGTTTTTGAAGTTAAATAAACAGTATTACATTTTTAAGCTGTTCTCTATTATAACAGTCTAAATTTCTGACTCATAGCAGTCTTAGTGGTAAAACAACCCACTCCATTGTATTTGGCAACTAGCTTCCCTGTAAATCTGGTAACTTAGAGTGGCCAGCTTAGGACGAGATGAAGAGGACAAGGGTGATTTTGTTTGTGTCTAAATGGCGTTAAGATGAAGTCTGAACTATTGAATGTAGGAGCTAAGATGACACAGGCCTTTAGAAGTGCAAGAAGGTGAGTAGTTAGGATTTAGGCTGACTACTACAAGGTTTAATTTTTTTTTTTTTTTTCTTGCCTTCTGCCTCACCCCGACACTGGGGCCAAATTAAGTGCTAAGCAGCAAAAACATCTTCCTGAGGGCGTGTATGGTATATCAAACATTCAGGCTTCATTTTTCCTCTCCCTACCCAGAACATTTGTTCTGCTCAATAATTGAGGTCTTAAGCTGCTGCTTCTCTCTTGGACCCCAGTGAAGAGGGTAGAGGTAGGGAGTAGTATCCACTTAACCCCCTACTTCAAGAAACCAAACACCCCAAGGAAGTTTACTGGGGCATCTGTGCCGGCTCTGTGTTGGGGCACCTGCAAGGCAGGCTGACAGAATCAATTGTTTCTAAGCACTAACGCATCAGATGGAAAGTAGAATGGCCTACACATGATGTGAGCTTGCTCATTGGAAACATGGATTGCTGTTAAATATTCTTAAACTTGAAGAAGCTTGGTTTGTGTTTCAGTGATTATTTCATGTTGGTGGATGGTGTAATATTTTGTACAAGTTGGGGTGAGGGGTGATGGCCACAGTGGCAAAAAGGTGATACTAAGTATTTTGAGGGCTGATGTGTATATACATCTTAACTTGGCAGTAATGAAGGGTACTATGTTATGGGTGAGTGTTGCTATTGCTTAGCATTGACACTCAGATATGTATGTTTGAGACTGGGAAGCACTCGGGAGTATTTTAATGATACATTTTCATGCTTACTCAGGAGAAAGCAGCTTTCTGAAAATTGACTATTTGGAACCTTGCATGTCTGCAGACTGTCCTCACCCTGTCATGTCCTGAGTGGGTACAAGTCACGGTAATGATAGCCTGATCTCTGATCACTAACCTATATTTATAGCCATTCCTTCTCACATCAGAACTGTTTGCCCTAAATGTATTCTAGTTCTAGAAAACAACCACTAATTAAAAACCTCTTGGTCTTGAGGTTTGCCCGGAGGTACTTGTTCCAGGATTGCCCCTCCTGCTTCAGCCATGCCCTCATTGCATTCTTCCAGCCACCACTTGGCATTGTAGTCTGAAGCTGCTGCTGCCCAACACAATGTGCCATGCTAACATTGGGGAGCTGTGGGCAACCTCTTCACATATGGAAGAGAAGTTCAGCTTGTCACAGAGAGATTTCTGCTAAGTGGTGCACTATCTGGTTGTAAATAGACATGTCAACTATGGAAGGGGGTAACTTTCGTTTGTGCTTTCACAGTAACTAAACGGAAGTAAGGAAGATGGTAAGTGATCTTTGATTAAGCAGACATTTAGTTCTAAAGAGACTTAAGGCCACTTGGCCCATTAACTTTGCAGCAAGACCACTACTCACCCCATCACAAGGTTGCTTGTCTAGATGGAATGATGCTCTGTAGCATCTCTGAGGTGTGACAAGTGGCGTGGTGTTACCACCTAAGGCTTAGGTTTAACTTGATTTCTGGGCCCACAGTAGGTGCTCTTACAATGACAACCTGTTACTTTTTTTTTTTT